TACAAGAGATGACAAAATTAAGAATATATTTTATATATGTCAAGCTTCAAAACCATTTTTTTTTTCCCATGACTTTTTATAATGCGAGATTTAATGATATCTGGATGCAGATGTTATTGCCTCATCTCAGATTATTTCATTTCATTAAATTTGAAACGAAGCAGCTTGATTGACTCAGTGCTGCTTTGTCAGACAGTCGGGCATTTTTCAGTAAAAAAATAGTGATTGAACTTAAACTGTTACCTAAATAAAACAAATAAATAATCATTACTTGGTTTTAGAGGTTATTTTATTTATAATGTATACACAACAGTGCACACCTCACCTAATGCAATATTGGATCATCCAGGTGAACTTTTTGATGTAATTGTCTGCTATGTTGTTGCCTAACTTATTGAGCACATATTAAAACAAACTGTATTCATTGTGTTCACCTAAAAGATTTAGGACACACTCCCCATTTTATTTTTATGACATTATAAGTGGAAATCTGTTGAAACTTGGGGGTGATAATTTGTGGATACATGTCATTTATGAATGTGCTCACGTGTCATGAAGAAACATGAGCTCATGTTTCTGCTATTTGTGCCCATCTTAGCTGCATTTCAGAGGATAATTCCTCTGAATCCTCACACACATATATATATATATGTATGAAAAGAAAATCTCTACAGAAAGAAAAGCTTTGCAGAGAGTGGTGAAGGCTGCACAGACATTTGTTGGAGTCAGTCTCCCCACCATCACAGACATTTTCACCTCTAGATGCAGGAAGAGGGCCACCTGCATCATGAAGGACCCCACTCACCCAGCACACAGACTTTTTGCCCCACTCCCCTCAAGAAGGAGGTTAAGGCACATTAAGTGTAGAACCACTAGACTGAGGAACAGCTTCTACCCCGAGACACATGAATCTCTAACCAGAATAATCACTGTGATAAATCACATCATGTTGCTGCTGATCTGTTTCATGTTGATGTGTTCATGCGTGCTCATCTACTCACACAGACTCATGTTCATGCTGCTGTTTGACATAATATTTTTATGCTATTAGTGCTTAGTGTATTTTAGTTAATGTTTTTCTTAGTTCATATCTTAGATCTTATTACTGTTTTTCTTTTACTTTTTATTGTTGGATGTAACTGGGACCCTGTGTACATAATCTCGTTCCACCACATGTGCTGTGTATGACAAACAAATCTCTCTGAGATATATATATATATATATATATAATATGTTTAAAGAAGAAACTACTTACCTTTGAGCCTTGATGGCTCTCTCTTACAAAAAGCACCACTGAGCTCAGAGAGCCATTAGTCCCAGTGGTATGCTTCATGCAGGTACATTTTGTCACCCGGAGCATTATAAGTCGCCTGACAAGAAAACAACCGGTCACATTGGGGGAAATCGCTCCCTGTGGTGATCTAATCTACTTCCTGTCTGTCTTCGTTATGTGAAATGGCTCAAGAAACCTAAAAGCACCATTCAGACAGTGTGCTTCATGTCAGTAGGAATCATTTGTCCTTATTAATTCAAGATTTCTTCTTTAATGTTTGTGCACCCCGAAATAAAATATTTAATTTAAATGAGTTCGACTCTTCTGCCTGAAATTGAACATGTTTGTGGTAAACAAGATGATTTTCTTTTATAAGAAATAATCATTTTAGGTCTGCAACTTCATTCAATCAGATGAGGAAGTGCAGTCAGGTCTGACGTTTTCTTATGAATGATTCACTTCACTAGAAAAGAGGCATAAAATTATTGCAAATAGGCTTTAATGGCATCCAGATTTATGTCTGCATCTTTATATATTTTATTCTATAAGACTATAAGTCCGTACCTCCACTTATTTTTCAAGTCATTTCACTCACAACATGCACGGATAGACCGACGGACAGGTATTTCCAATTCCCCCTTTTGTTTTGCAGACAACTAACATTTTAATGTCACAATACAAAAAGCTTTCTGTAAAACAATGTATTTGTACAGAGTTGCAACATATGAGAACTGCATTGAAAACTTAGAAAAATGTAAACTTTGATTAAAATAATTCCCCATTTAAACTAACCTTTAAAAGATCAGCCTCTAAAGAATGAATAATGAGTCTATGCAATAAAGAAATAGTTTTTCTTTGAATACCAACTCCTGGCGTACTTTGACATCAGTTTAGCATTCTGAGCTGCAGCGTCAATGTGTCCAGTGGTCAGACACTTTATAAGACAGGCAATGTTGCCCTTCAGGGAACTCCCCCACCTTCCTGGTTCCCACAACCATCAACACTCCAGGAGACATTTCATGGAGCTTTAAAGCTGAAGCAGAATCTTCCCTGAAGCAAAATGTACAGCGTGAAGGGTGATCTGGACACATTAAAAAAAAAAAAGTACGTCAAAGGAAACTTGTGGCTTTAGATACAATATACACCGCTTACTGGTTTGGGTATTACATTTTTGAACAAGATGTTGCTCAGAATGTGTTTACAATCTTTCCACATCACTGGTGAGCAAACTCTGGTTCCAAAAATACAACAAGGCAGGTTCAGTAAAACAAATCCAGCTGTTTTCGCTTCACAACAACGAGAGATGGAGTCAGTTGGTCTACCAGTACATTTTGTCTATGTGTCCTGCTTGTTCCCCGGTATTTCTTCTTGACAGTTGTCTTAATCATTTTTTCTATGTTCTTTCACGTTTAGCCCGAGATTCACTTTTATATTTCCATCTTAAACATTTCCTTTAAGATTAATTTATTGCCATATCGTTTTATCTAAATAATCTATGACCGCCCTAATTTGGTCAATCGCGTGACTCAAGTTTCCATGTGATTTGCTGCTGATTCAATTCAGTTTATTTATAAAGCGCCAAGTCACAACAGAAGTCATCTCAGGGCACTGAACAGAAACAATCATATATAAAAATAATAATTTAACATTATTTATTTGAAGAGCAGACTGCTTTGAGTTTAACTTCATCGCAGAACTCTCATCTTGAGCAAGCATGAAGGCGACAGTGGAAAGGAAAAACTCCCTCATGAGGAAGAAACCTTTAGCAGAACCAGACTCAGGACAAGCGACCATCTACTTCGACCAGAAAGGAACAGGAGGGAGGAGCAGATGCAGTTCCAGGAACTCGTCTTAAGCACAGAGGTGACAGGGCCTTCTCTGTAGCAGGACCAAGACTTTGGAACGAGTTACCTCTGCTTGTCAGACAGGCCCCCTCCCTCTCAGTTTTCAAGTCTCGTTTAAAAATCCACTACTATTCAGTAGCATTCAACACCAGATGATCTGTGTTTTGAACCTGTATGCTCCACACTGGTTACTCGTCATTATCTGCATTGTTTTTATGTCTATATTCTGATTTACTTAATTTTGTATTTTGCTTTGTGTGTTACCTGTTGTTCTGTCTGTACAGCACTTTGGTTGGCCTTGTCGCTGTTTTAAGTGCTCTATAAATAAAATGGTATGGTATACACAATGGCAGGTCAAGAATCACATGTTAATATAGAAATAGTATCAAATGAAAACTATTACATTTTAACAAATCATTTAAGGAAATTAGGTCAATTTGTCCCCTAAGCCTATAGCAGCGTAACAAGGAAACCCTAACTATAGGATTTATCAAAGAGAAAAGTCTCAAGTCCAGTCTTAAAACTTGACAATGTGTCAGCCTCACAAACAGAAACTGGAAGTTGGTTCCACAAGAGAGGAGCCTGATAACTGAAAGATGTTCATCCCATTCTGCTTTTGGAAACTCTAGGAACCACGAGTAAACCTGCAGTCTGAGAGTAAAGTGCTCTGTTAGGAAAATATGGAATAATAAGATCTCGACTATAAGATGGAGCTAGGTTGTTGAGAGCTTTGTAGGTTAGAAGTAATATTTTGAATTCCGTTCTGGATTTGACAGGAACAATGGAGAGAAGCTAAAACTGGAGAGCTATGATCTCTCCTACTAACTCCAGTTAAGACTCTGGCAGCAGCATTTTGGATCCACTGAAGACATTTTAAAGAAGTATTTGGACACCCAGATAATAAACCAGTGCAATAGTCCAGTCTAGACGTGGCAAATGCATGGACCAGTTTTTCTGCATCATGTTTAGATAAGATGTTTCTAATTTTAGTGATATTGCGCAGGTGGAAGAAGGTCAGTTGAGCTCTTTAACATTAAGTGCATACCCGCATTTCAAAATCACACATCATTATATCCATCCATCCATCTGTCCATTATCTTTTACCTGCTTCTTTCATTTCGAGTGATGAGAGTCACTGCATGGTGCCCATATCCAGCAGTCACTGTGCGAGAGGCGAGGGACACCCTGTTCAGGTCTCTAATCCATCACAGGGACACAAAGAGACAAATGAGACAACCACTCACACCTAGGGACAATTTAGAGTTAACAATCAGTCTAACATGCATGTTTTTGGTCTGTGGGAGGAAACGGGAGCACCCGGAGAAACCCCCCGCATGCACGGAGAGAACATGCAAACTCCACCCAGAAAGGTCCCATGACTGGTATTCGATCCGGCGACCTTCTCGCTGAGAGGTGGCATCTCTCCCAACTGTGCCACCGTGCCGCCTCCTTATCAATATATCTTTTAAAAAGTAAACTCTTTCAGAGTGCACTGTTTGCTGTTGCTCAGGATAACCTATTTATGTGTGACTTCAAAGGTTCAGAGAGTCATTTTGATTTAAGCCAAAGCTTAATTTCAAAGCTGTGAAATTCATGAAATAAAAAAAAACAACCTGAAATGCATTTGGCCCTGCCCCCCAGTGATCGGTCACTCAGCCTCTGTAGCTGCAGCATGAGCAGCTGCTGGTCTTTTTTTTATTCAACAACAAACAGCCTAAAGCCTGCGTGAGCATCACTGCCCCCCTCGCCTCCCTCTCCTCCCTCCCTCTCTCTCCTCCCTCTCTCCATCCTCTGTCTGCGCAGCAGAGCTCAGCAACCACACGTCTCCTCAGCAAGGAGCGTGCAATCACATTTTATTATCTGACCAGGGTCGAGGTGGGGGGGGGTGGGCTGGTCATCGCTCGGTTTCTGGGAGAAAAGTGGAACTGGACTCAAACCCCGAGCACACGGTAAGACACACTTTAAAGAGAATGTCCAAAACCTGCATTTATTCTGCTGAAGTGATGGGAAATTCAACAAGAACACTTTTTTTTTGTATCTGTTTTTTTAATATTTGAAAATGGATTTTGTCATGCAATTTTTATGCTACAAAAAAGTGATACAGTTTTTTTTTGTTTGTTTGTTTTATAAATGTTTAACATGAAGTTAAGCAGTTGGACTTATAGGTATCCATGCAAAGCATTTAGATCGCAGATGGAGTTTAGAGTGATTTAGTGTTAAAAATGTGTCGTTTTAAAAAACATAACTCAGTGATTGCTTTTATTCATTTACTCATCTACAGAGCAACGTGCTTAATTTAAGGACTGTTAATTGAATAAAATATCCAACATTACATTTCTTAAAAGGTATTTGGGCACTAAACATTTTTTCACATGATATAATAAAAACATTCATCACTTGTCATCGAAAGATGTCAGTAAGTTAAATTATTTAAGTGGATTGACATAGCATGCAGGAAATGTCAGACTCAGAAGACGGTTTGATTTTTATTACTAATCTCCATTTGACTGTTTCACAGCACACCTGGAATTATTTATTTTTCTGTTTTTACATATTTTGGGAGTGGTGGCGCAGAGCTTAGACAAACTTGTGATTGAAAGGTTGCTGGTTCGAATCCCCCTGCTGACCGTCACATCCAAATGTGGGTGGTAAAGGTGAAACACCTGCCTCTACCCTCATTTGCCCTGCTCTGAGCCCTTGAGCAAGGCAGTTAACTCCTCATCTGCTCCCCAGGGCACCCAAGATGGCAGCCCTCGACAGGAGGAAGAAAACAAGTTACATATTTTGGCATTCTGTGCGTTTAATGGTTGTCCAAAAGTTATTAAGAATCAACACTTTTACGTTTTTTTATATTATTTTAGTGTTATAGGTTTTTTTGTTGTTTTATAAATTTTAGACAGCATGCTTCAAAATGTTGTTGAACTTGAAGATTCTTTTGAAAAATATTGGAAATGTTCAGCTGATCAACATTAGTCTTACTGACTGTGCAAAAGTCTAATGTAATAACACATTTTTGACAGTGGAAGAGAATAAAGTGAGTAAACAAGCAGCTAAACTTGATGATAAACAGGTTTTATGCGTCTCATGTGGCAAACTGTCCCTCCCCGCCTCTGATGAGATATTTCTGAGAGAATCCTGCAAAAATGTGTCAAATGTCATCGCACGCCAAACTTCAGCCTGTTCTGTCCAAGCCTGTGCATTTGGTCTCCTTTTAAATCTGTGCACATCAGGCTCACATCACTTGGAAGTGACTTGTAAAAGCTGCAGTATCTCATTTTGAACAAGATATGGAGAAGATGCCAAATTGCTTGCTGAATAATGGATGGCCGTGGCGGGTGTGGTGCATCGCCTCAGGATTGATATTTCCTGAAGTGACTCTGTGTGGCACTGATTTTTCTCCTCCTGATTGTTAATCAATTGATTGGAACTTCTAATCACAGAAGAAACTCAGATTATTATGAACAACAAGAGGAAAGGATAACTTCTTGTTAAGCTGATACCCCGTCCGTTACATATTTTCCGTGTCTTCATTGAGTGACTGAGTATATTACTCTGTGGAGGACTTTCATGATTTATTTATAACAGAACAAGAAAAAATACATAATTAATTCTCGTCTTCTAAAAAACTGCTGCTATTTAAAATCCCTTCAGTTTTAGACCTACCCATGCACAGATTGTCTTTTGTGGCTTTTTATTTACTAAAATGAACAAACGCACATCACATTTTTTTAAAATATAAAACAGTTTGAGTTACAGTAATTTGTTCCTTAAAGTCTCCGACTCATCATAAGAAACAAAAGAGTTGTGCGAAGAGTCCTGCCAGTCAAAGAGTTGTTGATCCAGGAGCTGCTTTTTGCCTTAAACCCAGCAGAACGCTGATGAAGCTGCAGCTGAACATCTTTCCCTGCTCAGGCTCGTTCCTGCCTCAGTGCGAGAAATGAAAGATTTATTGCAGGGCAGCTCATCGCCTCAGCCTGACAGAAGAGGGCATTTTTGAAAACGTGTCTCTCTTCTTTTATCTGCAGTTCATTTGTTCTTTTTTTTTTTTTTAACGACGGCGTCGTGGCCAAACAGGGCTGAGATTGTAATAGACCTGTCAAGAGTGGCCAGGGAGGAGCAGGGCTGCAGAAGAGGAGAACCAGATGAGAGGGCAAAAAGATAAGAGCAGAGTTTGAAAAGGGAACAATGCAGTGATAAAAGAGCAAGATTTGAGTTTGTAAGGAATGCTGTGACTTTATCCTGCAAGAACAAAGTCAACTAGAACAAGCTAAAGTATTAAAAGCTGTGAAATAAAATAAAATTTTGGGATAGCTCCGGGCTTAAAGAGCTGTAGTGTGCACATACTCCACACTTTTACACATTAAACAAACCATTTTGTGTTTAGTGGTGTCATCTGCAAATGCATTCTAAGCATTATTTTACTTTATGTGGGGACTTTTCTTGTACTATCATTTTTATTATTTATTAAATTCAATTCAATTCAGTTAATTTATATAGTGCTAATTCACAACAAAGTTGTCTCAGGGCACTTTGCAGGAACATTCACATACATAAAAAAGCCAATTAGTAAAGTTCTTTATCTAAGGAAGCCAAGAGACTCGTTGAATCTTCACTTCGTCACAGTCTCCCATCATGAGCAAGCACAGTGGCAACAGTGGAAATAAAAAACTCCCTTTTTAACAGGAAGAAACCTCCAGCAGAACCAGGCTCAGGATAAGCGGCCATCTGCTTCGACCGACTGGGTTTGAGAGGACAGGAAGGAACTGATTATTATTATTGTTATTATTATTATTATTATTATGGTGCAGAGGTTAGAGAAGATGGGCCTGTGATCGAAAGGTCGCAAGTTCAACTCCCGAGACCAACAACCTCAAAATAGATGGGAAAGATGAAGCACCCACACCTGCCTCCACCTTCATTTGCCCCATTCTGGGCCCTTAACCCCCACCATCTGCTCCCCCAGGTGCCCTAGTTGACACTTAGATCTGTGGTTATGTCAGGAAGGGCATCAGGCATAAAAAATAATTGCCATGTCTTCGTGCACGTTAGTTTGTTGTGGCGACCTCTGAAGAAGGGAGCAGCCGAAAGAAGAATAAATAAATAAGATTATTTAGGTTTGCTGCATTGTCTGCTGAAACATTTCTCTTCCCCAGGAGAAACTATGAGCATGACACTAAAACATTTTGTAGTTTACACTTACAGCTCTCACGGTCATTTATGGACTTTAATTTTATGTTCAATTGTAGAAAAATGGGCAAAAGGAACACGGACTAATGTAAAATGTTCAAATATGAAACATGGTACAAAAAGCACGCTACTTTTTAAGCACGTCAATTGGCATTTATGGAAGGATAATGTGAAGCTGTGCTTGTCCTGTGGAATTTAAAAAGGCACAACATAAACGGAATTGAAGACAAAACAACAAGTTCATTAGGAGCATTTGATGTAACTTCATTTTGCTTTATATTCAAACTTATAATCTCCAGATATTTAAATGAGAGCAGTTCAAATAATTGCAGTTGTGAGTAATAAATATCCACAAAGGTAGTACAGTGTGAAGGCTTTACTGTGACCTTAGGAAGAAAATATGCATTTATATAGCAGGCAACACCTTCATCCAGTTCAGAGGAACCACAGGTTGCTGATTTCCTGATGCATGCTCAATAATCCAGGTAGATAAATCTAACAAGGTTGCTGATTCATCGTTTGTGTTCTTGTCTGGACTGATTAGCTGTTTTTGGAGAGTGCTTAAAATATGACCTTTTTATTTTATTCTGAGCAGCTTTTAACCCTTGGATCTCTACAGTTGATATATTCTGGGTGTTTTTCAGCATTTCTTTGTTTGTTGTTTCTGAATGGATACAGTAACGTAGACACTTTTTTTCTGTTCTCACCAACGAATGTCTCAGTTCATTGACATCCATTTGTGAGTCTTCATTTTCGTTTAGCTTCCATCTTAAAAGAGAAAATACATGAAGGAAAAAGACAAGAGATCAGTGGTGCCCAACTCTGGTCCTTGAGGAACACCATCCTGCATGTTTTAGTTGTTTCTCTGCTCAAAAACACCTGATTCAGTGGTTTCATTGCTTTGCTTCCTTAAGTTCGGCAGAAGCCTGTTATTCACCTTTCATTCAAATCAGGTGTTCCTCAGGGACCAGGGTTGGGAGCCACTGATGGTGATATCACGAGCAATGATAATGGTTTACATAAAAATAGTTTTAACATTCTATGATTTTCTGACCGTCTAATATTTTGATTTAACTTTGGTTTTGCATTTTGCTTCTTTCTTACATTTTGTCTTTAGTTATAAATTTCAGAGCATAAAGTATCACACTGGTGGTGCCTCTTCACAAATTAAACATAAATCTGTAGAAAATCAGTGAACATCTAGTTGCCAACACCAAATGAAACGGCTCAGAAAAACAGCCTTAAAAAGACAAATGATCAAACATAAAAGTTAATTTTCTAAGAACATGTGTTTATGTTTCTAAAAAGACCCAGACCCTGTTTCTTTATGTGGAGCCCTTCTTGGTCTGAAAACTTTTTATTCAGTGAGCGGTTGAGACTCTCAAGATACCGGCGCAGCTAAAATCCCAGCTCAGAGCAGAAATATTTACCAACCTCATTTGATCTCTGCAGAGCTTCAACTTCAAATCCTGCTGCAGTTCCTGGACTCTGAACATGGAAATGAAAACATAGCTACCCCAAGCAAATTCTAATTAACTTTAGACTTCACTTTATTGAAGAAAGAAGAATAATGCTTCATCTGTATTTTGCACATAGCATAAATACCAACGTGTATATTGACTTAAAATTAGGTCAATAAAACCTTAGATGAAATTGACACTGTGTTACAAAGTGTCATTATTTAAATTAAAAGAAAAAGAGATGAGAATAACTTTGATGTTGTCTTGCTTTTCATACAAACTTATTTTTAGTTTACTGAAGT